AGTTGAAATACGAATGGATAACGAATTACTTAATTTAAGTTTCAAATGATAAGAAACAAGAAAAAAAGCACACAAAAGAAAATTAAAAATAATTAAAATCATTCATAATTATGTGAAAAACATTTTTTAAAATAAGATTTTGAAAGAAGTCAATGATTGATAGTCGACCTAGAACGGATAATGTTGAATAGAAATTAAAAATTTTTTTCTGCAAACTGATTCTTTATTCGATTTTTAGCAAACATATTTACTTATGAACACATCCTTTAGCTTTTAAAGGATGTATACATAAGTATACATCCTTTAAAATACTTCAGCTTTTAAAAACTTTTGAAAAACATGAGAAAATCCAAACACAATTTGTTGAAAAAAATTTGAAGCCAGTACAAAAATAATGTGATCGCAACTAAGAAAAAATTTTCCAGATGTTTTTATCTTTTTTTCTAGCTTCGCGGACGGATGTGGGACGTGCTTTTCTCTTCAACGTTAGAATATCGTGCCGCTAAATGCGCCTTTAAAAGATTTAGGGTTGTACGGCCGAAAAAGAATTTAAAAAACATAATAAAAGGGGATACGCTTTGATTGACGAGGGGCCGCATCCTCCGATTCCTTTTTATTTTGCAGGTCATGACGGCCACTTGATCTTATGGTTTGGACCCATAATTCGATATTGCAACGCATTCACATTGTATTATCGGGGACATTACAGAAACGCAACAAGAGGGCTGAAAATCGAAGAATACTCAGCCATTGCCACGCCTCAATTATAATTATAAGAGAAGTTACTGGACATTCAACAGGACTTCATTAGCTATGTGAAAAAAGACAATCTTAAAATAGACAGTCGCGAGCTAATCAGAATCGAAATGAGAAAACAAACGTAGTGAATATTTGTTTTTCTTGAACCTGATTGGCTTATTACTCTCTCTGCTTTTCGACTGTCTAATTTTGACCGCTCTCCATCATCTTCATTGCTCTAATTTAGTTATTCGACTATTAATTATTAACAAAAATCATGTAAAGAATGATTCATTAACTTCAAGAGTTATTTATCACAACTTTTAGTCTAACATGATGT